AGGGCTGTGTTATTAGATGCATATGAATATAGAACTTTGTATCTTCCTAGTAAATAAGACTTTCATTATAAAAGGACACTCTAAACGTCCTGTATTATAAAATGTCCTTCTTCGGCTCTAGTAATACTTCTTGCTTCAAAGCCTGCTCTGTATGATAAATAGTTATGTCTGCTTTTGTTTGATTAATGTGTCAATAGATTCCACCCTTTAATTTCAACCTTTCTGTATCCTTATAGTTGGTTTCTCATATGTGTCATATTTGGGTTTTGATTTTGTTTTTAATCATTCACCACTTTCTGGCTTTTTTAAATGTTTATTTTTGAAAGAGAGAGAGCAGGAGCAGGAGAGGAGCTGAGAGAGATGGGGACAGAGGAACGCTTTCTGATTTTTGTTTAGCACACTTATATTTAATATAATTACTAATGGTATATGGTTTATAGCTAAGCTTTTTCTATTTTTTCAATTTGTCCTATCCTTTATTCCTTTAGTCATCTTGTCCTTTTGTTGAGATTCATTGGATTTTTAAAAAATTCCTTTCCTCTTGAATCTTAGATGTTTGTTTATTCTTATAATTATTATAAGAATAACTTGTGGTTTTCTTCAATTAGTACTTTCACCACTTGTCAAATAATGTAAGGATCCTACAAGTACTTAACTCCACTTACTTTCCTACCACACTTCCACCAGTGCTACATATTTATAATATATAACCAGCTATATACTCCACATTATCTACTTTACTTCATTATATTTTACTTCTGTAAGCCTATTATATGTTCCACAAAATATACTTCCACAGAGCATAGATATGTAAATGTTTACTTCCACAGAAGTAAAATATATAACAGGGTCTATCTGTAAGACATTGTTGTTTAAATAGTCAATATTCTTTTACATTTGCATACAGGTTTTACCTTTTCCATTGCTTCTTCTTCCTTCTGGTTCTGTGCTTCAGTCCGGGAGGTCATTTTCCTCTGCGCTGAAGTACTTCTTTCGGTATCTTTGCTAGCCATGGTCCGCTAGTGTGAAAATGCCTTTTGATTTAGCTTTTGAGAGTACTTTCACATACTAAGTATGGAATTCTCCATTGGTAGGGTTTCTTTTTCTTTTCTTTTCAACAGTTTAAAGATTCCCCTTTCTTCCGGCTTCCAACATCTCTGCTGAAAAGTCAGCTATTTAGTGTTATTGTGACTCCTTCAAAGGTTATGCGTCATTTCTCTCTGGCTGTCTTCAGGATTTTCGGTCTTTGGTTTTCAGCAGTTTGACTATGATATTCTATGTTGTGGTCTCTTTGTTTTGATTACATATGGGGTTTGCTGAGGCTAATGAATCTGTGGGTTGATGTCTTGTCAACAGGTTTGGAAAATTCTCAGCCATTATTTCACCAAATATTGCTTCTACCCTATTCCCTGTGACTTCAATTACACCTATCTTTAGATTGTGTTGTGTCGCTCATGTTCTTTCCTTGTAGATGTGTTTTGTTTTGTTTTTGCGTTCTTTTTACTGCCTTGCTTCATTTTTTCTGTCAACAACCTACCTTTGAGCACTAATCTTGTCTTCTGCTGTGTTCATCCTATTGTCAAATTCATAAAATGAAGTCTTAATTTCAGATTTGTGCTTTTCAGCTTAAAAAAACATTGAGGCATAATTTACAAACTGTAGAAATCACCCATTTTAGGTGAACAACATTAAATGGTTTATAGAAAATTCTATTTTTCAGGGTGCTTCGATGGCTCAGTCAGTTAAGTGTCCAACTCTTGGTTTCAGCTCAGGCCATGATTTCACTGTTTTGTGGGTTCAAGCCCATCGCTGGGCTCTGAGCTGGCAGCATAGGACCTGCTTGGGATTCTCCCTCTCCCTCTCTCTGCCCCTCCCTGCTCACTCTCTCTTTCCCTGTCACAATAAACAAAAAGAATTAGGGGTGCCTGGGTAGCTCAGTTGGTTGAGCATCAGACTTCGGCTCAGGTCATGATCTCACAGTTTTTGAGTTCAAGCCCCACATCGGGCTCTGTGCTGACAGCTCAGAGCCTGGAGCCTGCTTCGAATTCTATGTTTCCCTCTCTCTGCTCTTTCCCTGCTCACCCTGTATCTCTGTCTCTCAAAGATAAACATTAAAAATCTTTTTAATTATTTTCCTTTTTTCCTTTAAGACTACATTTTGGGGGCGCCTGGGAGGCTGTCGGTAAGCATCCGACTTCCGCTCAGGTCATGATCTCATGGTTGGTGGGTTCAGAGCCCCGTGTCGGGCTCTATGCTGACAGCCAGCTCAGAGCCTGGAGCCTGTTTCAGATTCTGGGTCTCCCCCTCTCTCTTTGGCCCTCCCCTGCTCACACTGTCTCTCTCTCTCTCAGAAGAAAAAAAAAAAGACATTTTGGATGACATTTAAATTGAACTCTAATTCAAACACAAAGGAAAACCACATCACTAACTTTGGCAATTAACCTGCCAAAACACTGATTATCCCAAACTTTAGCACAGCAGAGCTGCCTCTGTACAATTTTTAAAAATTGAGACATAACTTCAATACCACAAAGTCCACCCTTCTAAAGTACACAGTTCAGTGGGTTTTGTGTGTGTGTGTGTGAGTGTGTTGCATTTTAGCATTCACAAAGTTGAACAACCATCACCATTATTTAGTTTTGGAACATTTTCATCACTCAAAAAAGGAACCCATACCCACCAGCAGTCCCTCCCCATTCTCTCCTCCCCCAACTCCTGGCAACCCACTAACTTGTCAGTGTCTGTAAGATTTCCCTATTCTGGACATTTTGTATAAATGGAATCATATTCGGCCTCTTGTGATTGGCTTCTTTCACTAAGCACAATGTTTTCAAGATTCATTCATGTTGTACCTTGTATCTGTACTTTTTTAATGGCTGCACAGTATTCCAGTATATGAACATAAAGATATATGGATGAGCTAGATATATAGGGGTGTGTGTGTGTGTGTGTGTGTGTGTGTGTAACCATTCATCTGAGGATATCTGGGTTGTTTCCATTTGGGGGCTATTATGACATGAGCATCCATGTGCAAGATGTGTGGACAGTTTTAATTCTCCTGGCTGTAAACCTAGGAGTGAAATTGCCAGGTCATATGGTTGCTCTATGTTTAACTTGCTGAAGAACTGCCAGACCGTTTTCCAAAGCAGCTGCACCATTTTACGTTCCCACCAGCAATGTATGAGAGTTGTTAATTTCCCCACATCGTTGCCAATACTTAATAATTGTCCATCTTCTCGATTATAGCCATACTGGAGGGTATTTTTTTTTTTTTGGTTTTAATTTACATTTCCAGAATGACTAATGTTGAGCTTCTTTTATGTGTTTATTGGCCATCTGTGTATCTTCTCTGAAGAGAGGTCTATTCACATCCTTGCTCGTTTATTATTGTTGTAAGAATTCTTTATATATTGTGGACAGTAGACCTGTCTATAATCCATATTTGGAATAGTTCCATCATCTCAGAAAGATCCGTTATGCTTGTTTGCAACTCCCATGCCCACCGCCAGTGCCAGGCAACCATTACGCTGTTGTGTGTTTTGGGTAAACCCCTCCAGCTAATGAAATTTTGTCTCCTAAATATGGTGAGATTGCGGGAGATCTCATTCTGCCTTTTGGAAGCCCTGGGCTTAGCTTCTACTATGCCCTGTACAGCTCTGGAGTTCAGCAAATGTCCTGTGAGAGACCCAGTCATGTATTTGGGGGCTCCCAGGTTTCCAGTGTGCCCTGTAACTAAGACCTATGTGATTTTCTTTTCCCAGAAGAGTCCCTCTGAGTGGGCCAAACCCAATCCTCAGTCGAGGCCCAGAACCAGAAAATGCCCCCGGGGAAGAAAATTACCAGACCTCAGAAAGGCTTCCTCCTCTGAAGTTACAATTTACTTCTTGCTTCTATAGTTTTCTGATGTTTAAAAATATTTTTTGGTGTTTTTATTAGTTGCAGTATGAATATTTTATTGCTATAGCCTCCTATAGCCTGCCCATCAATTACTGTAAGCTTTTAAGTCTTTGTATCTTGCCAGGCAAGTCTTCTAGGCTTCCTTCCCTTCTCCATATATTGGCTATTTGAGGGGCATTAATTCTACCTTGTGAGGTTTTTTAAAATCCATTTATCTAGTTTACACACACAGTTGGGATTTTGTTGTAAAATGTATTGAATTTGTAAATTACTTGACATTGAATTGAAATTCAGAGACTCTTAAACTCCCTATCCATGAACATGGTACACCTATCCATTGAGCGGATTTCTATTAGGTCCTTTGATAATATTTTGCACTTTTCTTCATAAAGGAATTGCACATTTTGATCCTAAACAGCTTATAGTCTATGTTTTAAAATACTTCTTTTTTGGAATTGGTAATATATTTGCTATAAAATTCTCAAAGCTCAAAAAAGTATAACTGACAATTTCCCATCCATTTTCCTCAGTCACCCAGGTTTTTGTCCAGAATTGTCACCCAATGTTACTAGTATTAATTTTAATGTGGTTAATATTAACATATAGTAATTGTATTTCTTCATTATTGTACCTAGTAACCTGGCTGAATTTTATTATTTCTAAGAGGTCATTATATATTTCCTTTATGTATTATGTATCACCTGCAAAGAACAGCCATTTGGTCACTTCTTTTCCATTCCCTATTCTTTCTACTGATTTTACTGTATTGGCTAGAATGCTTCTAATAAAGTAGCTGTAGAAAGTAGCTGGATAAGAGCTGTAATAAAAGGCAACCTATATTATTCCTGCCTTTAATGGGAGGGCTTCTGTTTCATATTTATATATGAAATTTGCTATAGGTTCTTAGATGGCTTATTCAGGTTAAACTTTTTTTTTTTTTTTTTTTGCCTCTGGTCCTATTTTGCTAAGAATGAGAAGCATGAAAGTTCTTACCAAATTATTTTATGCACCTACTGAGATGACTATATATTTTTTCCCCTTTAATCTACTAAATGTGCTGAATCACTCACTCATGGAAAGAAGTAGTCTCGCGTAAAACACCTTTACCTCAGGCTGCTATTTATTTTCATGAGGGGGGGAAAAAAGAACCTTTTATGATAGTGGAAAATATACTTTATTTTTTAATACAATAGCTGCCAGCAATATACTGGTTCTTGAGAGTGAAAAGAAAATACAAGCATTCTATAATAAGCTTTCATTTGCCTTTTCAAGTAATTCTAAAGAAAATATTCCAATTCTGTTCAGCATTATGACTTGGGGGGAGTTGAAATTTTTTCCATGATAAAAAATATAATTTTGACAGCTCCAATCTTGATCATTTGTAAAGGATGGAATTTAAAAAGCCCATACAGTATATCAATAATGAATACTTCCCTCTCAGAATCAAATACTGATTATAACCAGTATAAGAAAAATGGTTAATCAATAAACATGATGAAATGTGTATCAAAATGTTCATGAAAAAATACATTGCTATTTCTTCTCATTTTTTTACCTTGCAGATATTTTCTAAATGGATATTTTAAATGTACAGAAATAAAAGCTATCTACATAACTCCGGAGAGACTCAAAACTCAACGGAAGTGAAAATGCCTAAATTCTAAAGTTGATCAACTTAGTGTAAGAATGTCAGAAATCTCTTAAATGCACACAGACTGCTCAAAATTTTAAAGATAAATTGTGTCAGCTGAGTTACCAAGACATTGAATCTTATATGATTTTCATCACAAAGTCAACAATCCTAATAAAAGATAGAAGGGAAGAGAATATCTGCATCTACATTAAAAAAAAAAAAAAAGGAAGTTACATCAGCTGAAATAGTAAAGAGCTTTCCAACTGTTTAACACAAAAATGTCTCAAAATCCCGTGGAAAACAGTGAGAATTTCCATTCAGAATCTAATCTTGTTGAAGTGGAACATAAGGAGTTTAAATCCAGGGGGGAATGATTTAGTAGTTGTAGAAATAATATCTGATGATCTGCATTATGTCAATTCATACACTATGTGAATTGCCATGAAAACTTTGATGTCCTAATATCTCCCAAGATTTTAAGCTATGACCTTTCCACAAGTGTAAAATGGGATTTAAAAAACAAAAAACATGTTTTAGGATTATCCTCTTTACTAGCTTTTTTATCAATTTGCCACTCTCAATGTCATTTAACTATCTCCCCTGAAAAAGTAATAAGGGCTTTCTACATCAAAGTCAGAAGAGATAAACCTGCCTTCCTTGGATATCCAGAGAGAGAGCCAAGTATCATCATGGGATAAGTTTTAAAAAGACACTGAAGAGAATAAGTATCCAAAGTGAAAATACTTCACGACTGAATTTCAGAATGTGCTTTCTACCACTCTACTTTGAGGAATGTCCCTCTGTCCTCATTTCCCTCTCCTCTGCACCACTTAGTCCATCACCTGAAGAACAGGCCCCTCCCCCGCCTCTTGAATCTTTTCCACACTTCAGGTTACGAGGCACAGTTCAGTATCACATGAATGCCAACTTGCCACTTAAAAAGTGGGTGAGAAGTGGCGATGGCTGCGTGCAGCCCAGGGTCCCGGTGCCGGTGTGGCATCTTCACCCCGCTGAAGCTACTGCTAGAGAACTTCTCAAGGATAACTGAGTGCTTTTCTTGGAACCAGGTAAGTCATCATCTAATATTTAATTATAAAAAGGTGGGTACCCAAACTGTTGATCAGCAACAATGAGTTCTAAGAAAGTAAGGCAAAGAAACTTCCCTGAGCCAAATGGATACAATATGGAGCTCATCATCCTTCTACACCAAGCAATTACTTATAAAAATGCAGTACATTTATAAAAATCGGGCTGCTTCCATAACACCAGCGCTGACTGAACGTTACCATTTCGAAGGGGGGAAAGCACTGGCATTTGAAAGCAATAATATGCTTAAATTTCCAAAAACAGCCTACAAGAAATCGCACTTCTTAAACAAGTTACGTATAAAAAAATGACCAAAACTGTAGTCTAGTCACAGCCATGGTCTTTGAAGCAGTATTTATAAAGTACTTTTTTTTTTTTTTAATGAATAAATACATAGCAGACTTTTGTTTTATTTTTACCAAGTTCATCCTCCCTTGTCAGAGCACAGATCATCCCTGGTCCAGGACTTCAGCTGGAAAAACAAGCATGCAGAGCACTACTCCTCCATGTGGCTTTAGAAAAATTTAATCAAGGGAAGTACAGTGATTGAGATGAGGCGAAACTGCGGTAAATTTGTACCCACTATCACAACTACAATTTAGTCCCAAAGGAGTGAGCCATCCTGTGCCCAAAGTTGAACAGTAAATGGGGACGGAATGGGAAAGCTCGTAATATGTGTTTTGTCTGGTTTCTAACAGAGGATGGATTCTCTCTTCAGGGTGTCCATATTAATTAAATAGGCTTCAGAAACAAAATTCTACTTGACATTTAGATGAACCCGTCCTACATTCCTTAGGTTAATATCTGTAAGGGTTAAATCTTTATGTTACAGATCGTTGTACTGCGATAGCACAATCAACTAAATATCAGTTTATGTAGTGTGTTGCTCAAAAGATCTATAGACAGCAAGGTCTACACTTAACTAAAAGGAGCTTTTTAAATAAAAGAGGAAAGCAGTAATGTCCCAAAGGAATGGCACTGGGCAAAATACAGACAAAACAGAAACACACAAAACAACACATTTAGACAGAAGAGCAGGTGCCCCCTGGTTTTTCTCATATGGATAAAATGTTTGAGAAGACCTTGAGAATGATCCTCCCTCACTCTAAACTTTTAGCTTCTACATAGTGTCAGACGTTATCACGGGTATGAAGGATAAATGCTTTCAGGCAAGGGTGAAAATCCATGTACGGAAGCGAGCCCGCGAAGCGTGTAGTGACTTTCTGGGGAAGGCTCTCTTCACCGGCGGGAGCGCACCCAGGACAGGGCACCCTGAACCCGCTGGACGCGGTGGCGTTCTGCTACGGTGGTGATCCCCTCACATACGAAGGACGCTAAAATTCCCAACAGACACAGATATTCCTTGTGCCGCGCATCGTGCGCCAGCCGGAGGCTGACTGAGGAGGGCGTGGCTCCTGTTTTCACCGTCAGCACTCGAAAGCTCTGGCACCTAGAGCCGTAGCAGTGAGGGCTCTGGAGGGATGGAAACCACCTCTAAAGTGAAAAGAGCGTGATGGAGCGTCCCTGCATTTGGGGGCGAGGAGTGGAGCGTGGGGGTGGGTATGGGCGGGAGGGGAAGGCAGGGTGAAGAATTTTAACATAATACTGCTTAGGAGTGTGTACTTAACGACAACTACTATACCTTGTCTATCCTTTTATCCTAATCCTGAATAACTGCACATTCATGCAAAAGAAGGGATCTACTTTATAGGAACAGGAGCGGCCTGTTAGGAAAAGCGTGTTCTTAGGGGAGACGTGAAGACATCTCTCTCACAAACGACAGTTTACTTGGTGAGTCTTTTGGCTACGTCGCTATAGGCTATTTCAACCTCCTTGTCACTGGGGCAGGTATTGGTAAACTCATCCCGACTGTAAGCGTTAGTTAGGTATCTCCAGATGCCAGTCATCCCTTTTGGAATATCAAAGTTGCGGTATTTTTTGGCCACCACCTGAAACACAAAGAGATCGGAAGTGAACACTCATTTCCCAGAACTTCTAACACAGACAGGTGTCTGGCGTGGGGGCGAACTAGCGCTATGAATCTCTGAGAGCAGTTTTTGTTTCGTTCCGTTCTGTTTTGAAGAAGTCACATTCATCCTAACTAGAGTTTTCAAGAACGACAGGACCGCACATGACACCCAAACTTCAGTAATGTCACGGTGACGGGAACCATGGGCTCTGGGGATCCAGGGAGAGAGCCAAGTGTCATCACTGGACAAATACCTCAAAGCACGCATCCTATTTTAGACGTCGGGTTTCCTTGGTCTTGACCTTGACTGCACAACTAGTGTTTAATACTATTCAACATAGCATCTTACACAAGAAATGCTCATTAAGTATTTTTTGCCTCGGACAGAAATAACCAGATGATCACAGGACAGAATCTGACAATATAAGTCAGTGTAGCAAACTCCAAGTCACCGGTCACATTTTTAAAATTTTTGTGCAGTCACAGGAAAAATTGTTCTTCTCTCACCATTTAATTAACTCCAGGGCATTTCAACTGTTGCCTAAATAGCATTAAGTTCTATTTAGGGGGGAGGGGGGGTTTCCTGGTCATATACAGAAGATCAAGAAAATTTTATGCACTAAGAAGTGCTATCTCAATAAACACAGAATAGCCAGCCTAATTGCAATGGGACACCACATCCCATAGACCGACCTTGACAATGTGCAGTTTGGGAAGCAGGTTGCAGTCAGCTAATGTCATTTCATTGCCATCCAGAAATTTACGTGTAGAAAACTTAATGTCCTCCATGCTGTTCTCATCAATTTCATCAGGGAGGGGAGAATTCAGATATTCATCCAGTTTCTGCAGGGTTTTCAAGAGACCCCTCTCCAACGCTGCAAGAAAGAGGGGGACACAGTAAGAAGGCGAACCACCCAAGGCCCGAGGGAGAAGTGTTACTCTTCCAGCCCCTGACGGTGTTCTCCAACGCTCACTGAGACACGAAGCAAGTGGAGCTAGACAGTCCAGGGACGAGACAAACACTTCTGTTCAGATAAATACAGAAGCAAGCAGGACCATCTTAGAAACCGGAATCCATAAAACTTAAGAACTAAGTGCCCCACTTACAAACACTGTGGCCCAACACGCTTGGTGTTTAAACCAGAAGAGTGGGTGCAAAAAGGCAGACCTATTAATTCAAATCTAGGGAAGAAACTCTTGACACGATAGAGGTTCTTGCCCTGAATATTAACACCTGCCTCCCCCAGAATGTTCGGGTCTATCACCAAGAAACATGTTACGAAACTCCAATATAGACAATCCAAGTAGAAAACCTTAAGTTTTTGCACTGTCTTGTGATACACGACAAGCCAAGAATAGCACATTTTATAATAACACGGAAAACAGAGGTCAGATTAGGGAGTTCAATTTATGATGCTGAAGCAGGGGGGCTCTTCCACCAAATAGATTAAGATGTTATAATTCAGACATTAAGGGATACGAGAGCCACCCCTGTATACCTGGAAAGTCAAGGTTAAGGACCCTTCAGCAGAGGGAGTAGGAATGTCATTGAAGAGGAATATGGAATATACGGGTCTTCTATTATCCCTTCTTAACCTCTGCCTTCCCAAGACACCTTCACCTCCACGCCCTGAATGGACGAGCTCACAGTGATGACCACAGTGCTTGGCCGTAAAAGAAAGTTAAATATCCTGAGGTGACCATCGATGTAGTTGTAAGTTTGAATAAACTTGGTTCTATTAGAGAAGAAGACAAAAGTTTTTATACGCCGCATATTAGATATTTCACCAGCAACATCAATATGTCCTAACCTGAAACCTCTTCTTCCACACTGCTCCCACCCACTCATCCCTTGGTCCCTTCCTAGCAGTTCAGATAAAAGATGGCAGCCTCAGCTAGATAAAAGGGGCAGGAGACATAAAAAGGAATAAATAGATCTTAGAGGTACTTTGGAGATAAAAGTCAACAGAGCTTGGAAACAAAACTGTACAAAGACAAAGGACAGAGGGGCACCTGGGTGGCTCATTTAAGCGTCCAACTTCGGCTCAGGTCATGATCTCGCCGTCAGTGGGTTCGAGCCCCGTGTCGGGCTTTGTACCAAGAGCTCGGGAGCCTGGAGCCTGCTTCACATTCTGTCAGCCCAAGGCGGGGCTCAAACTCACAGACTGCAACATCATATGCTAAGCTGAACTCATGGACCGCGATGTCATGCACTGAGCCGAAATCAGACATTTAACCAACTGAGCCACTCAGGCGCCTCCAACACTTAAAAACTTTTAATAAATAAACATTTTTTAAAAAGTTACTTTAAAGTCAGTATTTGATAACTGCATACTTTGTAGTTTTTAATATGTTTTTTTTTCCCCACTCTACCTGAAATGTTTTGTTTAAATACATAATTTATTGTCAAGTTAGCTAACTGGCTTTGGGAGTAGATTCCCATGATTCATTACTTACATACACACCCAGTGTTCATCCCAACAAGTGGCCTCCTCAATGTTCATCACCCAGTTTTTTAAAATGTTTTTTAAAAATATGTATTAGTGGGGGTACCTGGGTGGCTCAGCCGGTTAAGCATCCAACTTTGGCTCGGGTCATGATCTCATGGTTCGGGAGTTCAAGCCCCGCGTCGGGCCTAATGCTGACAGCTCAGAGCCTGGATTCTGTGTCTCCCTCTCCCTCTGCTCCATCCCCCCCCACCCCTGCTCTCTCTCTTTCTCAAAATTAAACAAACATTAAAAAATAATAAAATAAAAATATGTATTCGTTATGCTCAGTATTTTAATATGAGCATTGTTAGATTTTTAGAACTGCTAAACTTTTAAACTCAGGGCTGGTTTATATTAAGCTAATAGTCTACTAAATCATGAACTCCTTCCTTCTAATTCTTGTTATTAAATTAATACATTATTCTTGTTTCCCTAATGGCACTATATTTTCTTCAAAGGTGAAGTCTGTGTCCTGTGCTTCTTCTGCATATCCCTAAAATTCACGGCACTCTACCCAAGCACAAACTAGACCCCTGAGCCACATCTGCCCTGGACTGAGAAAGGCTAACAACCAAGTATAAAAGTTTAGGGTTTCTTAAATGTATGGAGAGGGTTCAAAAGGAAATCAGGCAAAAATGCAGAACAGATACTTTCAAAGTCAAAGGAGTGGAGATATTTGCATCTGACTATTGTATCTTCCTGGGGAGCTGAAATGGAGGTAGGGACTACACGCTGCTATAGAACATAAGAGCCATCTTAAAATGTAAAGAAGCAATGGTAAAATTTTTTTACTTAGGTAAATATCAAACAAATTAGAATGTATGTATGTCGAGTGATAGATGACAAGATCAAGATCAAAGAACCACCAGTTTTATTAATACAAGGTCGCTCTAGCCATAGCCAGGATCAAGCCAGTTTATTTCTTAGAGCAAAAAGTTAGGCAGCAAGGGCGCTAGAACCCCGTAAAATAAGGCTGAGGAGGAAGCAGAGCTCAGTCACAACAATGGGAATGACCAGGATTCCAGCCATTTAAAAATAGATCAAAAATACAAAGGCAGGGGCGCCTGGGTGGCTTAGTCGGTTGGGCGTCCGACTTTCGCTTAGGTCATGATCTCGCGGTTCGAGCCCCGCATCGGGCTCTGTGCTGACGGCCAGCTCAGAGCCTGGAGCCTGTTTCAGTCTGTGACTCCCTCTCTCTCTGACCCTCCCCTGCGCACGCTGTCTCTCTCTCTCTCTCTCTCCTAGAAATAAATAAAAAATATTAAAAAAAAAAAAATACAAAGGCAATTACTATAACTTGTTGATTACATACAAGTTGTTCTTATGCACACAGTCATCTGAAATGTTACATTTCTAAATTAACAAGAGAATGAAATGGGAGAAACAGGTGGGTTAGTGAGGAGTCCAGGGCTTGACAGAAAACTTTTCAGAGTTGTATTTAGAAGGGCTGCGGACGGGACAGCAGACTCTCAGGACGCTAGAGGGACCAACTTAAAGATTCAATATGCTTCATATCAAATTCAGTGAATACAGAATAAACACACATTAGCTATAATGACTTGTTCTTTGCTCAGTTTACAATGAACAGAATCACAGCCTCTAGGAAGGACAGTGTCTGAATTCAAATACTGAAACAATGTCTCCAATGGCACTTGAGAGAATGACAAGTCTGGGCAAGTCTATGATCTTCAACCTACTCTAAATCCATCCTTTTCCTGAACTGGTTTTCAAATATATCCAAGAGAAAAATAAAATACCCTAAATTTACAACGTTTGAAACATAATGCTTATTGTCATCCTAGATGTAAATAAGGCACAGGCTAAAATAAGAACCTAGCCAAACATGAAAATTACTATTCTTTCCATCATTTTGGACTCAGTAAAGCATCTGCAATGAAGCTGAATTGCTGAACCTCATTAGACTGAGTGATTTTTCATTAAGAATCTCAGAATAAAGGGTATATTAATGAAAGCAAAGAATGCGGAATTACTTTGATTCCATTTTTATGCAACAACACAAGGAACCCCAACAAAACAAAGAAAACAGAGGTGCCAAGAAGTACTAAAGGTCATCGTTCGATAAGTATAATGAAGTTTTGAAGACAAACCACAAAGGAATCTGAAGTTGATGAAGAAAAAGAACATGTCAACACTGACCACTAGGAGGCAGTAGCAAGCCATGAGAAAGTAGCTCTTGTCCAGGCACTGTTCTCTAATACCCCTGCTGTGGCAATGCTGCTATTTCTAAGAAGATTATTTCAAAAGCTCTCGAAAAAATGAGTACTTAATTACAACAGAGGCCATACAATTAGTTTCAAATTAATTCTGAAAATCAAAACACCCTTTCTGGTCTATGAAAATGTAGCAAAACTTTTCACACGCACACACATGCACCAAATCAGAAGTGTGTGGAAATGAATACTTTGAGGTTAGTGGGAATATAAACTGGTGTGGACTTCTGAGGAACAAAACCCTTTGACCTATTTGGAATCCAGCACAAGGACATTCACTGACAGCATTGTTTGTCATCATAAAAAAACCTTGAGACAATCTACAGGACTATCAACAGGGAAATGGTTAAATAAAAACCCATATTATGGAACATTAAGCAACATTTCTAAAAAATGAGGTAGATCTACATTTTGATATGGAAAGACTTCTACCACATCATCTATGAAAGACAACTGCAGAATGTAAAAGACACATTCATATATAATGTTTGCAAAATTACATAGAAAAAAGGATGAATACGAACTGTTGGGGAATAATTTATACAAGGTTAAGAGGGGGCAGTGAAATTCTATTAAATTTACTTCTAAACTATTTTAACTTTCTCAATAAGCAAACATTACTCAATCACTTGTATAATTTGAGTAAGTGTAAGGCAGAAAGCATGAAATGAACATGATCATGCTAATTTCAATAAAGGGTAATCATCCACAAACAATTTTTAAAGGCCAGGTCGAAAACAGGGAGAGGTAATGAGTATTTAAAGATGCTTAAATATACAATTTGGTTACATAGTTACAATGGTGAAAAGGTACCCTCTGATTCCAAATACTTCCAGAGAGAGAGAGAAAAAGAGAGAGAGAGAGTTCCGAGCCTCCTTGGGATTCTCTCTTTCAAAATAAATAAACATTAAAAAAAAAAAAAGACTATTATAAATACCAACACTCTAATAAATTATGTATTAAACAGTTACATTTGGGAACTTAATTTATATAAATTATTGAAATCACAGAACTGAAAAAAAAAAAAAAGATCTGGACAAGGTATATCTCATCCCATGAAAGGAATTAATTACCTATGAACTACTTTTAATGCTTCAAATGATTACTCCCAATCACCTTGGACATGTTACCAAAAGAATTACCTTTCTCTCCCTTCTTTCCTCCTTGCTCCCTTTCTCTCTCTCCATACCTACCATATTTCCCTTTATTGCAGTCTTTAAGCCCTATTTGTTTATTTTATACCCAATCTAAGTACTAACCCTTCTCTTTCACTGGCCCAATACCGCAGTGTCTAGGCATCTAATCCCTTACTTAGAATTAGGTCTTAAAAGGTCTTAAAACGGTTCAAACATACTGAGTTTTGTAAAATATATTTTAATAGGCTGGTAAAACTAATCAAAAACTTGCCTACCCTGATTTACCATGTAAAATGACAAATCCACCTCCACGTAGGCAGTTTATAGTTTGGGGGAAGAAGGGGGTGGTGCACTACTTTCTTAGGCTTATTTATGTCATTTTATTGCACTAAATGGACAGATTAGACATCTGCAACAAATATATATACTCAGTAAGCTCCAAAGTAATTTGGAATATTGTTTTCTCAATTCCCCTGGCAGGGACAGGCCCTATGGGGGAAGGTTGCTTGGCAACTGGAATTCTTATTTACCAATAGGTAATTTAATATAAAGCATTCTAAGTTATGCACTGTCTGATCCATTACGTTGTTTGTTCTCAGTGGTGACAACATTCTAAGGATGGTCAGTGTAGGTGGCTACTTAAGACAGTAACAAAATGATAGGAAAAAATAGAATACAGAGTTATACTTAAATGAGTCACTCTCTCCCCTGTTCTCGCCCCTCGATCCCAACCCCCAAAGCAATTGTTTGGCTTTGTTTGGGGGGGCGGGAGGGGAGGGTGGTTAAGCAAACATATTTTATTCCCCTTTCCTCCCCACCAAGCATCAAAAGAAATTCAACCACCCTCCAGATTCCAAAGGCTACATGGAGAAATAAAAACATTATGAATTTAACTCAAGAGAGTTCAAAAGCATCTGGATATAAAAGGATAGTTTCAAGGAAAGAAGCGTCACCCGCTGAAGGGAGGGTACAACAGAAGACACTGTCTGTGGAAAGCAGGGGCTCCAAAGGAACTGATTACTTAGTATATAAAAGGCTAAGAAACATCCGTCAGGAAAAAAGCCAGTTACTTAGGAAAATTGCTCCCAAACCCAGGCAACTCCTGGGACACACGAAACAGCCACAAGCCAAGCCTGGACACTAAGGCTTTTCCCTCCATCCCTTTGCTGTAGAAAAATCGCATGCAGTGGATTATCCCAGAAACCATTGAAATTCAATACTAAATTACAAACTGCTGCAATTTTAAAATTTAATAATAATAATAATAATAATAAAAAGCCTGAATAGCTTGAAACTCTGCCTACTGAAATAACATCAGAAAACGAGCAAGTGTTTCTACTTTTTAAAAGATGTTTATTCTTGCTTACCCAGCACTGATCGGTTTCCCTTTGTGTCCTTGTTCGTTTCCATAAACTTCTACCCAAAAGAACCATACCTGGGCTCCCAAACGGTCTAAAATGATGAGGGATTCAAGTGTCTTTAGGAGCTGCCTTTTGGGTTATTGTTATTACTTTTAATTAATAAACACTAGTGGTCTCTCCACAGAGTTTTATTCAGAGAGAACGACGCTTGATGCTTCTCAAAGAGAAGAAAAAGTTCTAGATGGTGTAGCTAAGAGAAGGTTCATTAAATGGGACCTCTTTCAAAAAGACTTCCCTTCACCATACAGGATTTCGGTAAATGAAAAAAGATAGTGTCCTTCGATAAATAAAAGAAGGAGTTGGCATCTCTACTACCCTAAACAATACTCACCATGAAAATCTGACTTGAAGCTAAAATCCTATTTTAGGAAGCAAGAAATGAGGAAATATACTCCCCAGGAGAAAGGCTCTCTGGGAGTACCTCCCAAAATTGCTCTTTAAGGATAATTATCATAGAGGCGCCTGGCTGGCTCAGTGGGAGAGCATGTAACTCGATCTCAGGGTCATGAGTTCAAGCCCCATGTTGGGTGTGGAGCCTACTTAAAAACTTTTAAAAAGCAAAAATTAAAAAAAATGTTTTTAAAGTAAAAATAAAAACATTTTTTAAAAAGGACAATTAACACGAAAATCCACCTGGACTGATTTTAGGCTGCCAGCGCCCAACGATAAACAGAAGATTTAGTAGTAATTTAAATGAAGTTAGATCAATCTATTCCAGAGCACCACAGCCACGGAAATCCATGGTTTCTGATGCACCATTAATTCTCTGTACAGCTCCCCGTGGTGGTGACTTCTCAGAAGACTATGAAAACAATTCGTTCAATAAACACTTCATCACATCCACCATACGCTAGGCAGTGGGCCACTAGCCAGAAACGGGAAAACAACAATTTGGGACTTACCCTGGTTTATCATCCAATCTCTAATCAACGTGGAAAGCCAGTTTGTAATACTTAATGGGACTATCTGGACTCCAAAGTATTCATTTATAATCACTGTTGTAACAGGATTTTTTGGATTTATTTGAGGGGGGTTTTCTGGTTTGTTTATCTGCAGCGGTAATTCAATCATTTGTGGGTTTTTGTTTTTGTTTTTTACCTTCATTAGCCTCTGGCCTTGAATTCTTGATATACGCAGAGAATTTGGCAAAGATGTCCATTCCAGCAGTATTTGATTCTGGGTGTTTTGGGGAAAGCTTCAAATATCTGGTGGGAAAAGACAATAAAGGATTAGAGGTCCTCCAAAGAAAGATACGTTAGCGTTGAGTTCTCTCAATCCACAAACCAACATGCTGGCGTGACCAGACATCTTTGAACACTTATGACTCTAAGAAATGCCATCATCTGTTTTCTATGATATTTTTAAGACGTGTTTTTTCCTTAGGAAACAAAGCTCTACACAGTGTTTTTGTCCGCATATTAATATTCTTGGCAAGCAAAGGGCATCCACACTCACTTCAGCCTTCTAAGGCAGAGCGCTGGGGACACAGTCTGCTGGCTCGGAAGTGTGTCCCGAGGCAGCGTGGGTCTTAGAAAGAGAACCCCAGAGCAGCACTGTCCGGATAACTTTCTGTAGCGGAGGAAATACTCGATACCTGAATTTCCCAACAGGTAGCCATCAGCGATGCATGGCTGGCTGTCCGAATACAAATTTAAAGAAACCAGTGTCCTGTCAAGTTAGAAATTCACTTCCTCCAGTTGTACCAGCCGCACTGTAATCACAGAGCTTTCTCAGAACAGAGATGCCAGCCAGAGTCTCGGCATATGCCCCACCCTGGACCACCCCATGCGGCAGTGCCAGGGACCTCCGAGAGCAGGAAAAATCAGGCATTGTGGTCAAGACAAAAACAGCAGGAAGCAGATCACTCGCTTCAATCCCACACTCGGGATTTTCCAAAACCTCCCCTGTACTAGACATTGTAAGGGGGGTGCTGGGTAGTGGGGAAGGAGGTTGTCCGTAATTCTGCTAACAAGTGTTCTGTTGTTACAAAGTTGATCTACTTTGACAACAGACATTCGTGACACATCGCTTTAAAAAAAAACATGGACGTGTATTTTGCACATTTAAATTCCAAACACACATACTCAGTGTCTATTTCTTCCTCAAGTTGGAAAATACAAGTGAGATGGCTCAGCTCCTCCCTCTTCCCTTGGGTGGAGTGGGCGGCCACAGGAATTCATCAGCACCCCAGTAGGAAGACTGAGCCGCTCAAAGGCCCTGCGAAGTTTCCCTGGAAGGTGGGCATGGGGGGAGTAAGACTTTGGGGGAAAAAAATCTTAACATTAAACTACTAATTTAGATTTCTTCACATATTTTAGGATGCTGTCTTTCCACTTCTTTAAAGTTAAAAATGAAGGTGAGGTATTTTTAGGTAGGAATTTAGTTTAGTTGCAAGCTGTAGTTTCTGGTTAGCTTTTATATTCTTTTTTTTTTTTACATTTGCGATTCTGAAATCAAGGAAAGGTACATCTAAAACTTTGGACATAGGACTACATTGATAAGAAGAGTATAAAGATTATAAAGATCTATGATAAATATGCTCAATTTATCTTTCTTTTTAAGAGGTCTCAATTATTAAATATTCAGAAATATTTACAGAACAAGTTTTTCAAATGAACAATGAATTTCACAAGTTTATATACACATATATGCTATAATAATAACATGTAATAATATATATATATGTTTTCCTCTTAACTATAGAACATTTTACCCTCTCTTTCTCCCCACCACCTCTGTCTCCCCAACCGCCCACCCCCTCCCCCCCCACCCTCGCACCAGCTCGAGCTGGAAGAGTTAATTCCAAGTTCATCATCCCTGGAGTCCCCTTGACTATAAAAACAACCAGCCTCCAGTTTCATTGTTTTTACTGCTTGTAATACAGTAACTTCACTGATTTATTCCAAACAAAAAAACAGCGCAAGGAACCTAAGTGCCTCTTCGATACATCTATGTCTTCCTCTAGTCAAGTTTCCATAATGATCCCTCTTCCCCCCAATCAGTATTTAGCTGAACCTACTTTTTCTAATAAAACAAACTTCCTAATTCTCAAAATAACAGGCCTGAAGGCAGGCTTAAATTGTAGATCATTTATATATTATTCACATATATTCATTTACGCTAATTATTAAGTGTCTCGGTGTATTATACTAAGTGTAGAGGATATAAGGATGAACAAACAGACGCATATTTCCTAAAGACCTATTTTAATGGCCAGGTAAGAATGCAGAAGGATTTGCAGTCAGCATATCCTTAACCATACGAAAACAGATGCTATTAATGATTCTTAAAAACTAAAAACCGTCCTCTACAGCAGGTTAGGCATGCCCCAGTCTTCTCCAAGACAAACTTCTCCAAGACAAACCACTACATTTGTACTATTTGATAGAAAGAATACTTACAGTCAGTAGAGACCACCTCAAATTCTCATTTTGCCTAAGTGAGAATTTTTCTGGAAATTTTATTCCAGGAAGCTTACATTCTTGGCCCCCAAATCCCTAGACCAGTTAAAAGTACTGCCAAACGAACACTCAGGCTTCCTGTCCCCAAGTATTGTTTTTCATTTTGTTTTACTACAGATTGGGTTCTTTCTGAAAGATAAATCAGGTTTTAAACCAACAGGTCCAAAATCAGTTGCCAGTTTATGTTGCCTTTCCCCAAATACTGGATTTTAATAATTCATCATTATTGACTTTCCCAAACAGCTTGATAAAGCAAAACTTCAACTGAGAACCTTCATTTCAACATTTAACAAAAAGGAAGGCAAGTGATTAACAAAGGCTATGTGTCAGGAACACCATGGGCATGAGCATCCAGGGTATGAAGACTTTCAGATCAGTCTTTTTTTTTTTTTTCTGTATCATGTCACAGATTGTGAACAGTAAGACTAGCTAAGAATATTCCCATCCTTTTAGGAAAGAACCCAGGTATTTTCTTTCTCATGTGAATAAGAATAAAGTCTGAGTATACAACCCATTAAGTTATCCTTGTAAATTCAACTTTCATTGTATTTTGCACTTAAAAAATAAAAAAAGGATGAGGGGTGCCTGGATGTCAGTTGATCAGCGAACTTCAGCTCAGGTCATGATCTCAACCATTATGAGTGCGAGCCCCATGTCGGTCTCTGTGCTGACAGCTCAGAGCCTGGAGCCCAGCTTCAGATTCTGTGTCTCCCTCTCTCTCTCTCTCAAAAATATATAAACATTTTTTTAAAAAGGATTAATAACCTTTATAGAGCTTGTCTCCAAAATTATCTAACTTCCTCTCTCCTATTTTTTTTTTAACAGTAAGTAAGCCAAGTACACAGGTCTGCTTCAGTTAAAACTATAAGTTTCAAAGCTTTTTTGAAAGTTTTTGGCAAAGTAGTTCCTTAATTCAAGCAAGGGGAACTAAACATGTATTTATAAATATTTTCCCGAGATGAAAAGAAAGTTTCTTCTATGTATGCTTGTTACACAGACCAGCAAAAATTCCCTGATTTAAGCTCTTCACTAGTCTCTAAATTCTAAACAACTCTAAAACAAGCAGTTGCCTGTATTTATATTTGTCATGACTGAATCAAAAGTGCTCTTATAAAAAAAAAAAAACACTCTGTTCTCGGTATCACCAAATGCCAAAACATGTTATTAGCAATGCTCGATTCTGCTGGGCCGGCTCATGCAACAACTCTGCCTGATCTCTTCATCCAGTCTAGAAACATGAAGGCTCTCGGTCAGAGCGCGAGGAGGGGCCGTGGTAGGTAAGGACTGAAGACCTTCTTGTCTCTGAGCGGAAAGGCAGTGGGCCAGAACAGTCCCTGAATGTCCTAGAACACCACAGGAAGGGAAAGGAGTGCCCGTGGTGGTCCGGGAAAGAACTTCCTCCTCCTGTGCATCCTCCAGGAACAACCGTGCAGGACACGGACTCCGCTGTTCATCGGCATCTCACAGCAGGGGCCCATAAGGGGAAGGTCTTGCTGATCCAAACACGCTTTTCCAGTGCATAGAAATAAAAACGCATCACAAGGTAAGCCTCACCTATTTCTTAAAAAGGATTCATGAAGTTTGACAAACACTTTCGGTCCCACTTGCCCATCACAGGAAACAATCTTTGATTTCTTTCCTGCCCTTCCTCCAAACTTGAACTAGCCTGAAATTTTATACTCGCTAAAGCGCAATCCCATTAAAGACTTACAGTTCATCTTTTTATAAAAGTCAAGCTCAGCAACATAGAACGAAGAAAACTAGAAGGAAGAAAACAGAGGAAACACGGGTCTTGGAAGTCACATGGGCCTGGCTGTGGAGTGTGCCGGCTCTGCCACCAGTGACTGCAAAACCTTGGATGGGTCATGTAGGTTACTCGTCTTCAGCTTCCCCGCAAAGTCTTTGAAAGGACAGAGCTCATCCACAAACATAACCCGGGATGCGCACACAATGCGCTTGAACGTTAATTAATGTTAACAGCAGAGCCATCAGCAACATCTATAATACTCCCATCTACAAACAAAGTGACATTAAAAAACTTTACTTAGAAATTCTTCAGAAGAGGAGCGCCTGGGTGGCTCAGTTGGTTAAGCGTCCGACTTTGGCTCAGGTCATGATCTCACGGTTCGTGGGTTCGAACCCCGCGTAAAAAGATGAACCCCGCGCCGGGCTCTGTGCTGACAGCTAGCTCAAAGCCTGGAGCCTGTTTCAGATTGTGTCTCCCTCTCTCTGTGACCCACCTCTGTTCACGCTGTCTCTCTCAGAAATAAATAAAACATTAAAAAAAAAAGAAATTCTTCAGAAGTGGGGTGCCTGCGTGGTTCCATCAGTTAAGCGCCAACTTCAGCTCAGGTCATGATCTCACTGTGAGTTTGAGCACCATGTCGGGCTCTGTGCTGACAGCTGGGAGCCTGGAGCCTGCAGCCTGCTTCGGATCCTGTGTCTCCATCTCTCTCTGCCCCTCCCCTGTTCTCTCTCTCTCTCTCAAAAATAAAATAAATACTAAAAAAAAAAAAAGAAAAGAAAAAAACTCTTCAGAATATAAACTACAACATAAGAAAACCATGGAAATACGGGATGGGGATTAAAGAGTACACTGAGGGGGCGCCTGGGGGGCTCAAGAGGTAAAGTGTCCGACTCTTGATTTCCGCTTAGGTCACGATCTCACACTTGTGAGATTGAGCCCTGTGTTGGGTTCTGTGCTGCATGTGGAGCCAGCTTGAGATTCTCTCTCTCCTTTTCTCTCTCTTTCTGCCTCTCCTCTACTCACTTATGTGCATGCACATGCTCTTGCTCTCTTTCTCAAAATAAACATTAAAAAAAAAAGTACATTTAGCATGATGAAAGACAATAAAATGATTTTAAAAAAAAAAGGAAACACCCTTAGAGAGAATTTAGCACATTGTGAGCACTTTAGGACAGAAAGATCTCCAAATTTTATTGTTTATATTTAATTACTTTAGGGGGAAAGCTTTCCAAGTTTTGAATTATTTAAACTGAAAGAAAAGACCATCTCTGGGTAGAGTAGCTCTGTGACCATCCCCAAACAAAATGGAGCCGAGATTTCTGTATACAGAAAGCAAAGTAAAAATGTTCCCTTTCCAGGTCTGATTCAAGAAGCTGTGATGCCTTCCAGAGCACTTAATGCTGAGAAACTTGAATGTTTTTGATATCAGTTTTACTATTATCTTAATGTTCGTCCCCTCTGAGAAAAACAACAGGAAGGAATACTGAAAATCGCTGTTCCTACGGTTGAAGAAAGCCCAGAATGCCCGTCGCTCTCCTCTGTTCACCCGCAGGAAGCCACTTTCTGTTCATTAAAGCTTAACCCGGGTATTCTCTCTTTTCCAAAGCCTTTCCTGTCTCCGCTCACTTCCCTTCACTGTGCCCACCACCCCCTCTCCATCCATAATGGACTGCGCCTCCTGAGGCAGGAACCGTCTCATTCACTGCTGTATTCAGAGGCCTCTGTTGCCCAGAAACTGTTTGCAGAGTAAACGAATGAGTGAGTTCTGAGGAACCAATTATTTTAGAACCCTCGGCCCCAGCAATCCCATCCCGGGGAAATTTATCTGGATATGGAGACTAAAAGTCATATCAATGAGCAAGAACTCCCCAGGCCAGGAGAAAAACATTTCCGTTTTCAGACTGATGGAACGAGAAAAGCCCAAGAGAAATCCATAATGCATTGAAGCCACACCAGGATTACAGCAGGTGCATTTCGGGTAACAGTCACTACGGTTCCCCTGTCCCTCACCGTCCCTCCTGTTGTCGGAAATATAGTGGAGCACTTCGACATCGTTAACCATGTGGGCGAATGTGCAGGGCCTGGGGATCCAGAACACCTCAAAGAAGTACATAAATAAAAATCGATGGGGCGCCCGGGTGGCTCAGTTGGTTAAGCATAAATAAAAACTGAATCCCAGGGACAAAGTCTAAAGTCAACTCCCTTGACTTTAGACAGTCACCTTTGAAATGGCCTGATGAGGAAGCTCCCGGCAGCCTGTTGCACACTCCTGCTTAGCCATTCTGGCTACGTTCACTCTGAACCTCTTTCCCAGTCTCTTCTCCTTCCCAAACTTCTCAGCTTGTGCCCACCACCCCTCAGAGAACCAGAGCTAACCAAACGCGGCTCCCATATCTCCAACCCACCTTCAATGTGTACTCCTGTAGCTTAATCACATCCCTACCTAGGCTTGTTGGCCGAGCCAGAAGCCAGTTCTGACATCTGTGGAGCATTAATTATAATGAATGAAGGGAAGCCCGAGTCACTGCAACTTAATGCTGTTGAGAGTTTTAAGCCGGGACCATCCGGAGAAAGGTCTGTAAGGGCCAGAAAAGACCCAACTTTAAAGAGATGGCAATATTTCCATGCATATTTTCTTTGATACTCACTTGGGAGGGCATAAGACTTCTTCGAGAAATTCTTCAATCTTATTTACATCCGTTTTGACTTCATTGTTGAAAGTTATAAATGGTGGGTGGGTCCCAGGAGCCAAGTTCTGCAGGTCAGCAGGCTTCCTGTCAGGCAAAACAGTGGTCAAAATTGGATCATGTTTTACTCTGGGAAGGCAACAATACTTTAAGTACTCAGAGTGGTTCTAAATGTTAAAGTATATAAAAATAAATGAGAAATAGTACTTTTTCCACTAAGTATAACAGCTGCACTGCTATTGTAATAAGAAGCAAATCTTCACAAAGAACAAAATTCATGGTAAGAAAATCAGGAAATCTCTGATTTTAACCAAAAGACAAAGTCCTCCACTCTCACTCCAAATTGAACGGAAGTGCTTCTTAGAAACGGTGGTAGAACTGAGAGAAAATCATGTCTAGTCTCAACGCTGGCGCCCACCTACTGTGTAGGGACGGTGTAAACCGTAACTTTTCTAGGTCTTCCTTTTCTTTTTGTAAAATATGAAACAAGAGCAGCTGATTCTTACAGCCCTTCCCAACTACAACGTTCCAAATTCAGTGCTACCAATTTTCCATTTTCCTAGAAGTCCACTCTCAACGAGGAAAGAGCTCACCAGTCAAAATTACTTCAGTACATAATAGATGGCATAACCAAACGAAGATGCAACACAGAAAGGGCAAAGTATTATAGTGAACAGGAGAGGCTCAAAATATGTATTAGGTAAGAATTTTGTCCAAATTCATTAAAAAGCCATCAACAAGAGAGGGGCCTGAGTGGCTCAGTTGGCTGAGCATCCGATTTTGGCTCCAGTCATGATTTCACAGCTCATGAGTTCAAGCTCCACAGTGGGCTCTGTGCTGACAGCTCAGAGACTGAAGCCTGCTTCGGATTCTGTGTCTGCCTCTCTCTCTCTGCCCCTCCCCTGCTCGTGCTCTCTCTTCCTCTCTCAAAAATAAAAAGAAAATTTTTTTTAAAAGCCATCAACAAGTCAAACAGGTATGAGTCAAAAGAAATTGATAGAGTAGATAAATTAAGTGAACATATGGAGAAATGTAAGAAAAAAAAAAAAGACAACCAATTACTAAAGAAATTCAAGAGTAAACTATGATAACATTTCTTTCCTATTAATTGGGGAAAACTGAAATTACACAGAATACTGATAAAGACAGTAAAACTGGATACCTACAACTACTATTACCACAGAACAATGGTACGACCCTACTAAAAATAAAAATGGCTGCCTGAATGCATCAGTGAATCCTAGAATCAATAATATGACCCAATACAGCATGATCCTAATGATAAATACGGAGTGTACATCACCATCCATGAAGTATTCTTACCAAAAAAGTCGAACCCGAATCTAGAATCAAGTCTCTTAAGGCAGCTCTCTCTCAAAATGAGGTCTAGGGGACCCTGTCTCCAGGCGGTTCATAAGGTCAAAAACATTCTCATAACACCAAGACATCATTTGCTTTCTTCACCCTCATTCTTTCATGCCTGCAGAGTTATCCACAGGCTACTTGGTGTGTGGTGTCACAAGGTAATGTACACAGAAACAGGAGAACCTATCTTCGATTAAGGCAGAAATGTACAAAAATGTAAAACAATGCCACTCTTGTTTTGGAAAATATATTTTTAAAACATTTTTGTGATAACAAATAGTAGGTGCATGATTGTTCTAACTAGTAAATATTTTTTAAAATTATTTAGCTTTAATTTCTAATCCAGTAAAAACGGGCAGGCACAACCACCCATGCAACTGAAAACTTTTTGAGGTCCTCAATAATTTAAGAGTATAAAGGAGTTCTGAGACCAAAAAGTGCATTTGCAGGAAACACGAGGAGTTGCAAACAAAGTTAAATGATACCACAAAGAAGCCATCAGCCAAATACAGAATTTGGGACACTCCACGGTTCAACAGAATGGATTCCCACCAGTCAATGGCATGAGCAGAAAAAGCTACAAATGGAAAGTCTGTTGCAGATTAAGAAAACTTTAAGAGCCACAACAACCAAATGTAATGAGTAGAATTTATTTAGATCCTGATTTGAAGAAGGCAGTCAAAGAAAAAAGATCCTCTGGAGATAACCAGGGAGATCGGATCATATGCCAGGAACTAGACGTGATAAGGTGGTGAGGTTGGGTAAGAAAAAGTCCACGTTGTTTGGAGACCGACAGCAAAGGATGTAGGGTTGAAATGACAGCTTTGCTGGGATTTGCTTTAAAATATAATTAGAAAAAATAGTGACAAAGCAAATGGGTAAAATCTCGATAACTGAGTTGAAGTCGTGGGGAAGTTCATTCTATTCTTGTGTATGTTTGAAAACTTTCATAATTAAAAAGTTAAACCTTATAAAACTTAAATGTTGAAAAAGCAATATATTGCTTCAAGCAACTTTTCCCCCACCTATTTTTATAGCCCTTCTGTATCACAAATGCAGACTTTAAAATGGTATCTTTTTTCTAAAGCTCACCCTCTTTTTAAAAATGTTTATTTATTTGAGAGACAGAAAACGTGAGTGGGGGAGGGGCAGAAAGGGAGAGAGAATCCCAAGTGGGTTCCACACTGTCAGCACCAAGCCCAACGTGGGACCAAAGCCACGAACTGTGAGATCATGACCTGAGCCAAAATCAAGAGTAGAACACTCAACCAACTGAGCCACCCAGGCGCCCCATAAAGGATATCTTCAAATGTATCACAAAGGTGAAATACCTTACTACTGAAAATAATGTTTAAAATAGAGTGTACCCCAACATCTCTACTCACCCCAGCTTAACAATTTCTCTTGGTCTTATTCATATGCCTTCTCTGTCCCTCCACTTTTTTTCCCCTCCCTACAGCCCCATTTAGGTTTAGAAAGCCCTTCATCTCCTTATGACTACATTCCCAAAACAAAAAGACTTATTAATGATCCGATTAGTCCAAATTTTCTAACTCCAAACCCCCCTCAACCCAAGTTCTAGGGCCCATCTCCCTCTCAAGCCAAAGAAAAAGAAGACATATTTTCTCTAACTTGTGTAAGAGCCTAAACTCTAAAAGAGGCCTTTTAAAAGTCAAAATCTGATTTGATGTTCAGTTCTGATTCCTTTCCCAAGATGCCTGGAGCGGGGGAGGAGGGGTAAAGTGGAGCGCAGAGTGACTGCAATCTGTGGTGGCTGAGCAGTCTTCCAGCCACATGCATATTTAAGCAGTGGTGTGCCCTGGGAAGCTCTGAGTTCATGAAGCACTCATGACTCAGGTCAGACTAGGTCCTAGTCCGGGTTTTGTTCCTTTGGTTTGTTCAGTCATTCCTTTTCACGCCTCACCCTGACCATCTGTTCATCTGTGATCCCTAACGGGCCCAGCAGGTCCAAGACCACGGCATCTGGGGTCTTCAAGTTCTGTCCCAATCCAGTCCACTGCTCACGGCTGATCCCAGCTATACTCCACTTCCTGCTCAACTCTGGAAGACCTTATCCATTATACCAAGGATCCAGAAACCCTAACGGTTCAGGGTATCTCCGATTTATTTTCAAATCTCAACATTTTAAAGTTAAAAAAAGACTTTTATCACTCCAAAGTTATAAAACATATCCACATTTTTATGACTAACAGTCTATTAATGCCTAAATGCAAGGTAGTAACAACACACGTCTCTGTGTTTTACAAATAATTTTTTCATGAACCAGGAAGAGTTAGACAGAGGGAAAGAAAGGGCCTGATGCTCTAAAATAATCCATGGAGGGGCGCCAGGGTGGCTTAGTCAGTTACGTGTCTGACTTAAGCTAGGGTCATCATCTCGCAGTTTGTGAGTTCATTCCCTGTGCTGGGCTCTGTGCTGACAGCTCAGAGCCTAGAGCCTGCTTCAGAATCTGTGTTTCCCTCTCTCTCTGCCCCTACCCCACTCACATTTAGTCTCTGTCTCAAAGTAAACATTAATTTTAAAATAAATAAATAAATAAAACAAACCATGGGGGGAGGGCAGCAAAATAAGCAAGAGCTATTACTTCTGTAATAAATTATGACAGCTTTCAGCTCTCCAAATAAATTTATTAGAAGGAGGATAAAGTTGGCATGGTAGAGAAGAGTAAGCCGAAGATTGAATCAAAAGGATGTGGTTAAAGTCCCAAGTTGAACAGTTCTGCCATCCACCAGCTATGTGACTAAGGAAATCATGGCCGCTGGACTTCCTCCTCTGTACCGCGGACAGCAGCATAAGCCCCGCTCTGCCTGTGAAGATCAAATCCAATACGGCACGTGGGAGTGGCCTAAACCAAAGTATGCAAAGGAAATCAAGGACTGCTTTTGGTAGCGCCCTAACAGCTTTCTGCAGGAGGGAGACAGGGAATTTTAAACTCTAATTGAGTCTGCTGGTTCAGAACTGGTCCCCTAGCTTTACCTGACTGGTCACAAGAAACCTGAATAATTGAGGCTCATAAGTAAAGTGGAACCAGGCACGTGATCACCAATGTTCTACTCATATTAGTGACTAGTGAACAGTCTATCTTGCTTCTGCTGAAAGCCTATAGATTTTGAAAAAACAAGGTGATGAAACTATTCTCCGGCATGAAGTGCTGAGATGAAGAGCAACCACGTTAAGGTCCTTATCCCAAGTGAAATTAAATTCGAGAAGAAACTCCAATGCCTCTCAGCATTGCAGACTTCAGATAAATGTTCAAGTTGCAAGCACTGAGGTGATAAACCACTTAAGCTTTATCAAGCCATCAACCAAGTGGAATCTCACCTGGCAGCCCCCGGCCTCGGTGTTCTGTGTGTGACCCACAAAGGTTCACTTTACAGATGCTTCACAGAAATGTAACATTTCAGAAGTGCGGTGTGACAGGCACGAAACCGAAACACAGGCAGTGGCTAAAAATTTCAGGCCACCTTTGGTTGATTTCATAAAAGCCCTTTAATAAATGCTCAATGATTCATTCAAACTCATTCAAATGTTTTCCTTAAGTGAAAAAGCAAAGTGCATATAATTCATGCTTTGAGATAAGAGCACAGATACTCTTCAGTGTTTGAGGTTTCTTTTTTTAATGTTACTTATCTGAGTAGTCTTTTTTTCCTTTGTCAAAGGAGATGAACAAAAATATCCTATTCTCTCCCATTTTGCTTCTA